GTGTAATGTGTGTGTGTAATGTGTGTGTAATGTGTGTGTGTGTGTAATGTGTAATGTGTAATGTGTGTAATGTGTAATGTGTGTGTAATGTGTGTAATGTGTAATGTGTGTAATGTGTGTGTAATGTGTAATGTGTGTAATGTGTGTGTAATGTGTGTAATGTGTGTGTAATGTGTAATGTGTGTAATGTGTGTGTAATGTGTGTAATGTGTGTGTAATGTGTAATGTGTAATGTGTGTAATGTGTGTGTAATGTGTAATGTGTAATGTGTAATGTGTGTAATGTGTGTGTAATGTGTAATGTGTGTGTGTAATGTGTAATGTGTGTAATGTGTGTAATGTGTGTAATGTGTGTGTAATGTGTAATGTGTGTAATGTGTAATGTGTGTGTAATGTGTAATGTGTAATGTGTGTGTAATGTGTGTGTAATGTGTAATGTGTGTGTAATGTGTAATGTGTAATGTTATTATTGTTCACAATCTTTCCATGAACAGTTTCCAGGGACAACTTTCCCCAGACTGAGACACCCAACCCAACCCCCGCTCACCATAAAGTCCCCGGCACTGGGAATGTGCACAATGCAGTTTAACCAGAAACGTCCAACCTGAGTTCCCGGGTCTGTACCCCCGCTGTGCCCATTATGAGGGGCCCCCACCATCCCTGTGCTGAGTTCCCGGGTCTGTACCCCCGCTGTGCCCATTATGAGGGGCCCCCACCATCCCTGTGCTGAGTTCCCGGGTCTGTACACCAGCTGTGCCCATTATGAGGGGCTCCCACCATCCCTGTGCTGAGTTCCCGGGTCTGTACACCCGCTGTGCCCATTATGAGGGGCTCCCACCATCCCTGTGCTGAGTTCCCGGGTCTGTACACCCGCTGTGCCCATTATGAGGGGCCCCCACCATCCCTGTGCTGAGTTCCCGGGTCTGTACCCCCGCTGTGCCCATTATGAGAGGCCCCCACCATCCCTGTGCTGAGTTCCCGGGTCTGTACCCCCGCTGTGCCCATTATGAGAGGCCCCCACCATCCCTGTGCTGAGGGTCTGTACACCCGCTGTAGGGGTCAGAGGTCATTATACAGTTACATTGTATCATTATATAATTCCCGGTGATGAGAGTGGACGAGGTTCTATGAAATGACGGGACTCTCGCTGGTTACTTTGTATCTCACGTTTCCTCTTATGAGATGATATGAGACTCACACATCTGAGCAATCCTAAGGCCTGCTGGGAGTTGTAGTTCCTCGAGGCGACCTCTCACCCACCCCCAGGGTGACCTGCGGTTGGTTTGGTGTTTTCCTTGGTGACGGGCGCCAGGCGGGTCCCTTGTTTACACACAGGTGGAGATCTCCGGGGTGTACACGCTTTATATATGTTGTATGACGTGTTCGGCGACGCTCGCGGCTCCATAAAGAATTCGGAGAATTGTAACCAGAAATGTCCATGTGACAAAGAGGCGGAAATGTCACCCGCGGAGGAGATGAGAAGAAGGGGGAGGGGGGAGGGGGGAGGTGCAACAATCTCCAGGAGATCCCTCTGTCATTTTTTAGGGTGTCACTTTGCTGTATGACAATACATGTCTTTCCTGGGTGGCTGGTTCACATCTGCGGGTGAAAGACAAAGGGGAATCCTGTGGGCTCATTCACACCGACACATGTCTGTCACCATGCGTGTGACATGCAACACGGAACACTGGGAATCCCGCCGGAGGGTCAGATGTGGATTTTCCTGTCTGGTGTGTGAGGAATGTGGATGAGGTTTCTCCCTCCTGCACTGTGCACACCCGGCGGCTACAATGTCTGACACTGTTCACACACCACCGGCACCGTCCAACAGCACTGCAATAGGAGCAAATGTCACATAGGGGAGAGGGTGAGACTGCCGGTACATGGGACAGAGTGAGACCCCGCATGTCACTGCCGGTACATGGGACAGGGCAAGACCCCCACATGTGACTGCCGGTACATGGGACAGGGCAAGACCCCCACATGTGACTGCCAGTACATGGGACAGGGCAAGACCCCCACATGTGACTGCCGGTACATGGGACAGGGCAAGACCCCCACATGTGACTGCCGGTACATGGGACAGGGCAAGACCCCCACATGTGACTGCCGGTACATGGGACAGGGCAAGACCCCCACATGTGACTGCCGGTACATGGGACAGTACTCCTCTCAGCTCTGGTGCATGCAGTGGGCTGGATGTGGGGAGGAGTTATGCAAATATCAAAACGCTTGATGGGTGGGTGTCAGTCTGGAGGAGTGGGCGTTCCCAGGTTGGCTGCATTTGCATTAGGACCAATGAATGAAAGGGGCGTGGCCAGGGACCATCCCCCCCGACATGCCCCGATCACTAATTCTACTTTCTTTGCAGAATGATTGCCATCATCATCCTCCTTGTGGCCGTCATCGCTCTGATCATCGGTCTCAGCGCCGCAGGTAACATCACTCATCTGCTTCCTTCACCTCATCCTACGCATAGCATGTGTCTCGATGCTTCACTGGCTGCATGCTTGTTCCAGGGCAGTGATCTACCAGGCAGTGTGAGAAAGGATCGGGATGACTCCCTCACAGCGTGCAACCTCAGAGACAAGTCAGCAGCTCCCATATTTCTCTCCTGAGAGGCTGCAGCAGACTGATCACTGGGGGAGGGGAGAGTGAGGAAATGCTTCCTCCTGCCTGCAGCCGACTGATCACAGGGGGAGGGGGGACTGAGGAAATGCTTCCTTCTGCCTGCAGCAGACTGATGACTGGGGGAGGGGGGACTGAGGAAATGCTTCCTTCTGCCTGCAGCAGACTGATGACTGGGGGAGGGGGGACTGAGGAAATGCTTCCTTCTGCCTGCAGCAGACTGATGACTGGGGGAGGGGAGAGTGAGCAAATGCTTCCTCTTGCCTGCAGCAGACTGATGATTGGCGGAGGGGAGACTGAGGAAATGCTTCTCATGCAGCACCCTGATATTACAGACCTGGAACCCCCTTTTCTGCTCTTCGCAGGTAACAGCACCACCAATGATGTGACGACATCGAACACAGTGGCGCAGATCTCCGGCAATGTGAATGCCGGTACATGGGACAGTACTCCTCTCAGCTCTGGTGCATGCAGTGGGCTGGATGTGGGGAGGAGTTATGCAAATATCAAAACGCTTGATGGGTGGGTGTCAGTCTGGAGGAGTGGGCGTTCCCAGGTTGGCTGCATTTGCATTAGGACCAATGAATGAAAGGGGCGTGGCCAGGGACCATCCCCCCCGACATGCCCCGATCACTAATTCTACTTTCTTTGCAGAATGATTGCCATCATCATCCTCCTTGTGGCCGTCATCGCTCTGATCATCGGTCTCAGCGCCGCAGGTAACATCACTCATCTGCTTCCTTCACCTCATCCTACGCATAGCATGTGTCTCGATGCTTCACTGGCTGCATGCTTGTTCCAGGGCAGTGATCTACCAGGCAGTGTGAGAAAGGATCGGGATGACTCCCTCACAGCGTGCAACCTCAGAGACAAGTCAGCAGCTCCCATATTTCTCTCCTGAGAGGCTGCAGCAGACTGATCACTGGGGGAGGGGAGAGTGAGGAAATGCTTCCTCCTGCCTGCAGCCGACTGATCACAGGGGGAGGGGGGACTGAGGAAATGCTTCCTTCTGCCTGCAGCAGACTGATGACTGGGGGAGGGGGGACTGAGGAAATGCTTCCTTCTGCCTGCAGCAGACTGATGACTGGGGGAGGGGAGAGTGAGCAAATGCTTCCTCTTGCCTGCAGCAGACTGATGATTGGCGGAGGGGAGACTGAGGAAATGCTTCTCATGCAGCACCCTGATATTACAGACCTGGAACCCCCTTTTCTGCTCTTCGCAGGTAACAGCACCACCAATGATGTGACGACATCGAACACAGTGGCGCAGATCTCCGGCAATGTGATTCTCGGCTGCATGTTCACGCCGGACCCCAAAAAGTCCAGCGACGTGCTGTGGGAGAAGGACGGGGTCACCGGCAGCGTCTACAAATACGAGAACGGGAAGGTCTCCTTGACCAACCAGAACAGCGCCTTCAAGGGACGGACCTCGCTCTTCCTGACTGAGCTGGTGAACGGGAACGCCTCCCTGAAGCTCAGCAATGTGCCGCTGAACGACGCCGGGACCTACAAATGCACCATCACCAATTCCAAGGGGACGGGATCCAACAAGCTGAGCCTCAACGTGGGGGGTGAGGCCACCAGGGCAGAACTTGGGGGAGGGGAAACCACCGGGGCAGAACTTGGGGGAGGGGAGACCACCAGGGCAGAACTTGGGGGAGCGGAGACCACTAGGGCAGAACTTGGGGGAGGGGAAACCACTAGGGCAGAACTTGGGGGAGGGGAGACCACCAAGGCAGAACTTGGGGGAGGGGAGACCACTAGGGCAGAACTTGGGGGAGCGGAGACCACTAGGGCAGAACTTGGGGAGGGGAGACTACCAGGGCAGAACTTGGGGGAGGGGAGACCACCAGGGCAGAACTTGGGGGAGCGGAGACCATCAGGGCAAAACTTGTGGGACATGGGGCAGGGGAGACCATCAGTGCAAAACTTGGGGGACGTGGGGTAAGACAGACCATCAGGGCAAAACTTGGGGGACGTGGGGCAGGGGAGACCATCAGGGCAAAACTTGGGGGACGTGGGGCAGGGGAGACCATCAGGGTGAAAAAGGTGATCAGGAGGTAGGTGAGACCACTGGGGGCAAAAGATGGGAGGCAACTGAGGTAGACAAGTCCACTGGGGAGAAAAAGGGGAAGCAACTAGGGGAGGTGAGACCACTCGGACAAAAGAAGCCAGTGGAAGTGAGACTACAGGGACAAGGGAGGGGAATAATGGGGGGGGAGGTGAGACTACTAGGGCAGAAGATGAGGGGGCAACCATGAAGGTGAGAAGAGGGGTCAACCAGGGGAGGTGAGACCACTGGAACGAGGGATGAGAATAATGGGGGGAGGGGAGGCCACTTGGGCAAACGGTGAGGGGTCAATCAGGGGAGGTGAGACCACTGGAACGAAGGATGAGAATAATGGGGGGAGGCGAGACCACTTTGGCAAAAGAAGAGGGGACAACCAGGGGAAGTGAGACCACTGGGACAAGGGAGGGGAATAGTGGGGGGAGGTGGGACCACTAGGGCAGAAGAAGCGGGGCAACCAGGGAAAGTTGAGAAGAGAGAGCAACCAGGGCAGGTGAGACCACTGGGGTAAAGGAGGAGAATTTATATGGCCAGTATGTAACTTGTTCTTGTTGTCTACGTCTCTGACCAGTAGTCCATCATCCAGTAGTATCTGCTGTCTGTAAATATTACCCTTTGTTTCTCCCGCTTGCAGCATTCACCCCCATCACAGTGACCAACACCACCCCAACCACCCTGCGCTGTGAGTCTCCCAGCTGGTACCCCAAACCGACCGTCACCTGGCTGAACAGCACGTCCCAAGAAGATCTCACCAACTCCTCCATCACCAAATACGTCTCGGGGCTCAGCGTTATGGTTGAGGTGATATCGGACTTCACAGGCGCCGTGGAGGACATGCAGTACGCCTGCATCATAAAAAACAATTTGGCCCAGGCGCAGGCCCAAGCCAAGTTCACAGGTGGGCAACAATTCAAGTGCTGCTTTGTAAAGGAAATGTGTTCATCTTGACATTTTGGTGGCAACCATTGTTGAGCCTTCCTTCTGAAGACCCCAGCTGCCTGGAGGTCCAACGGCTTCCAGGCAACCAGTGACATCACTGGACATTGGGACACCGGCCAGACCATCCCAGGTTGATAAGAGCCCCGGCGGGGAGATGCGGATGGTCCTTACACTTCTCCCTGCCCAGCTCTTAGCAACCTGGGACACTCTGGCCGGCGTCCCACCCAGCTCCTAGCAACCAGCAATATCACTGGTTGCTAGGAACTGGGCAGGACACCAGGGGAGCAATGGGTTGCAGATACGCCTTTGGGTAG